GTAGTTAATTATATTAAAATAAAGCTCATTACCTTTTAATTCAAATAGTATCTGATTTGTGATATAGTTCACTATATCATTAATCTACTCAAACAATAATCAATTATTCTCAAATTAACAAATTATGATAAAATGCAGAAAAAAATTATACATTTCAATTCAAATATATTTTTGGAAAATTATTATTTTATTACTTATCACAAGACAAATTGTAACGCACGTGAACCAAAAAGTGAATTTTTGGTTGGTGCGTCGATCGACACAGGGTGAGTGTGTCAGTCGATACACGTGTTTTAGACTTGTGAGAAGTCGTGTTATGAGCGTTGCGTCGATCAACACAAAGGGTGTGTGTCGATCGACACGGGTTAATTTTGAACCGACATGTTCGATTTTAAATTGTCCGGTTCGCGTGGTTGGTTAGGAGAAACCCTAAGGGGCAGTATAAAAAGGGAGCAACCGTGTTTAGGCTGCGTTTTTGGGCAGAAAACACTCAGAAATCAGAGTGGAGGGAGAGGATTTTCGTGGGTTGTGAGAGAGAAGAAGAGATTGTCATTTTGGAGATAGTTCTAGCTGTCCTAGAAGAGTAGAGGAACGAATAGTCTAATCAGATCGAATTGGAGTGAAACTTCTAGGATAAGTTCTCCACTCTCGTATCTAGCTTTGGTCGAAATCGGTTTGTCATTTGGATTAGTATTCCGAGAGTTATGATAGTTTTTCCGAGAGACATTCGTGCAGAATTGGATCTGCGATCAGTCCACGTCGTGGGAGTTTTCCAGTCGAACCAGAAGGAATTATGAGGCTATCTATATAGCGTTGGAAAGGTCCCAGTCTCACGATTCCAGATCATGATTCCGAGGTATGCTCCGTTCTCAGCGTGCTTTCGAAGTCGGTTGGTTGTTTCTGTTTTCAGGAACCCTAATCCAGTTTAGGAGAAATTCTGATTGGTTTGGTTTGCTGTGTTCATCAGATTAAGGCCCACAAGTCAGAGGAGCATTGCCAGAGGTTGAGGTCTTAGGCAATTGATAGGCC